GGGGAATAAAGCTTCCCCCACATCCAGGTCAGGTGTGGATGCTCAGCCCAGGCTCCTGCTGGCCAGGCAGCCAGAGGAAGGCAGCTGAGTAAGGCTCTTCTCAGAGTCCACTCAAGGGAGATGCACACAAAGGGGAGTTATATCAAGGTCATGGGATATCTATCTATCTATCTATCTATCTATCTATCTATCTATCGAGAGATTTATTTTTATTTTTTTATTTTTTGTTAATCCTCACCCAAGTATATTTTTTCCATTGATTTTTTTTTTTTTTTTGAGAGAGAGTGGAAGAGGGTGAGGGGGTGGAGAGAAGCATCGATGTGAGAGACACATCAATTGATTGACTCCCACATGCACCCCAACTGGGGCTGGGGATCAAACCCACAACCCAGATATATGCCCTAGACATGGGAATCAAACCCATGACCCTGCCGTATGCGGGCTGATGTTTCAACCATTGAGCAGCACCGGCCAGGGTAAGAGAGATTTATTTAAAGAATTGACTCACACAATTATGGAGGCTGACAGACTTGAAACCTGTAGAATGGGAGGGAAAAGCTGATATTGCAGTTGAAGTCCGAAGGTTGTCAGCTGGCAGAATTCCTTCTTGCTCAGGGGAGGTCAGTCTTTTTTATTCTATTCAGGACTTCAACTGGTGGGATGAGGCCCCCCCCCCCCCCCGCCTCCCCATATTATGGAAGGCAATCTGCTTTCAATGTTCATCTCATCCAAAGGCAGTCTCACAGAAACATCCAGAATAATATTTGACTATCCAGGCACCATGGCCCAATTGAGTTGGCACATAAAATTAACCTTTGCACCTTCTAAGCATAACTGGTTGGAGCCCCTAAGTGAGGATCTGATCTCTTCCTTCCTTCTCACCTCCAGAGCCCCCAGAGAACCATCTTCCAAGGGTTGGGGCAAGCAAGGTATGGCTCAGCCTGAGGTTGACCCCCTCAGGTCTCAGTCTTACCTCCTGGTTCGAGTGGCCATCCCTCAGGGGACTGCACTGCCAGAGAGCTCCCTCAGCCACAGAACTCTGAAGCCTTCAGCTTGGCGTTCAGGACAGCTCGGAGGCAGGTGGGAATGAAGCTTCCTAAAGCAATCCATCATGCATGTGCCATTATTGCCCCCCATGGTAATAACCATGACAGAATGAGCAGAGAGCTAGCTTGCAAATCTGCTGACAAGCTTGGCTTCCACAAGCAACCATGATTCAATAAGGAAAGGCATCTCAGGCATTAGGCATCTGCATGCATGTTATTACTATTATGATATTATTTGTTAACCCTCACCCGAGGATATTTTTTCCATTGGTTTTCAGAGAAAGTAGAAGAAAGGGGGAGAGAGAAAACACACTCACACATTGATGTGAGAGAGACACAGCAATTTATTGCCTCCTGCATGTGCCTCAATCAGGGCTCAAGCCTGTAACTGAGGTATGTGCCCTCCCTTGACGGGAATCAAAACGAGGATCCTTCAATCTGCAAGCCTATACTCTAATCACTGAGCAAAACCGGTTAGGGCTTATTATATTTTAATAATGCTGCATGCTCTTAAAGATATGGAGGTATATTCTACCAAACAAGGGAGCTGTGTTGCCTCATCTTTGCTGTAATGTTCACATGAGACACACTCTCACACAGCTTTAGAAGTACAGGAGACAGCTGTATCCAAAGTCAGTAGAGGTTAACTCAGCAGACCCTAGTTTCTCAAACCTTGTATATTCTAAAGCAGGGGCCCAAGAAACCATTTGGTCTGCTCCTGCCAAGGCATTAGGGGTGAGTTAATTAAATGTTTGACCAAATGTAGCAGGCTAATTTTTAAATTGATAATGTTGTATGACCCACAAATGGTGTTATAAATATCCAAATGGCCCTTGGCAGAAAAAAGGTTTCCCACTCCTGCTCTAAAGGAAGGCAGATATTTAGTTCTGCCTTTACTCGCTCCCTGGCGATAACCTCTGAGCCCTTGTAATATCCTGCCTGTAAGAGTGTGTTTCAAGTCGGAGGCCCTGGGCCCTGCTGCATCAGTTTGATCTCTGAGGGACTGGAGACTGAGTAACTCACATCAGTCACAGAGCCCTACACGAACAATCTCCAATAAAAACTCGGGACACCTGAACCTCAGTGCTCAGGTGAGGTTCCCTAGTTGATAGTACTTAACACATATCACATATTGCTGCTGGGAGAATTGAGTATGTTCTTGTGCAATTTCTGTGCGAGGGGACACATTAAAATTTTTAAAATTGATTTAAGAGATGAAGGGAGAAAAAGAGAAAGATAGAAACATCAATGATGAGAGAGAATCATTGATCAGTTACCTCCTACACACCCCACAATGGGGATTGAGCCTGCAACCTGGGCATGTGCCCTGGCATGACCAGGAATCAAACCATGACTTCCTGGATCATAGGTTGAAGCTCAACCACTGACCCATGCTGGCCGGGCAGAAGGGGACACTTTTTAGTGCTGTTTGGTATTAGAGATTCTCAATTCCTTCTGCCTCAAATCCCATTTTCTACCTTCTAGCAGCTTCAGGCCTCCAGGCTTCTCAAATACAAAATGTCAACCAGAACTCTGCCCTGGCTCAGGGCCACTCTCTTCATTTGCATCTGCCCAGCTGGGAGGTAGTTACTCTCCACTGACACTTTGGAGAGAGTCCCAATTGGTTTAACAGGATGCTCCTCTTGGCTCAGATGCATGTCAACAGTAGAAAGTTCCTTTAATCAAAAGGTCTTTCAGGGAAATCAAAATAAACAGAAACCAATTATTAAAACCCTCTCTACTGTCTTCACTTATACTTGTGGAATAATAAACGAAATTTGGGCTAGTGCTTTGACACAGGTATTAGAAAGGGTGAACTTCAGATGGGTGGAATCTCGGGCCTCTGTGAGGTGTGGCTCAGGCTGGTATTTCTGGGTGGCTGACTCCCCCAGATCTTAAGATGTTGGCACCTTTTTGTCACTGGAGGAAAGGATGAGTCTTGGTAAAAAGGTCTGGAATTGGCTGCTAGATTTCATTTAAAATCTGCCCTATAAATACCAGGCCAAACCCAGGTGATTCTGGAATCGCTTTCCTGATTATCAATCTGTGTAGGTTCTCATCTCTCCTCCAACTGCAATCCCTCTAGACACCAGCCTTCACAGGTGCAGGGAGAAGCCAGCCAGGCTCGATGGGTCACCCACAGCTAAAGACAAGATTAGATAACATACATGAATGAATAAGATAATATGCAGAGGAACAAATGAATTCATGTTCCAATATAACTTTATTTGGCCCATCCTGATCAAGTTTAATAATGTTTAATAGATTTTTTTTAAACTTGAATAGTAATAATTCCTCTGTAATAACAATTATATATGAACTTCTGGTCAGGGTCAGCAGCTTGTTCCTTTACCAAAAATGTAAAGCCGCCCTCTGAGGACAAATGGCACATGAGGAGCAGTGTACATTTCCTTATCTTTAAAATAAAAACACAAAAAACCGAATACTTCATATGTACATATTTTCCATTTAAAAATCGGTCAATGTGATTAATTCTGTCTTTAAATATAAGTTTTTAGTATGTCGAATGTTTCAATGTACAAATCCTACTTAGCAGATTATAATAGATTTAAGGTGCTGTTAAGGTGAGGGTGAACACAGCCAAGACCAAGACGGGGGGACCTTCCGCTTAGTGTCCAGACTTCCTGTGGGTGTCTTTGGGCGTGTTGGGGTGGGGGAGGGGTGGAGCTGGACACCAGTGATGGAAACGGCACGATAAGTCTGCAGAGAGTCTGCTGTGCCCACACACCATCACCCCAGACTCCGGGTGCAAGGACACCTCTGGGTTTGCAAGTTCCAAACTCATCCTGGCCTGAACTAGGTGGCGATACCTCTGCCTGACCCCCGAGGGTCCTCACGATGGCACCCCCCCCCCCTTTCACATATTGCTACCTCCCTGGATTCCTTGTCCCCAGGCCACTCGCTCGCCAATGCACTTCTTCAGGGCCTGCTCTTTGCAGGGGTTAAATATAGAACCAAGGGCAGTATGAATGGAGCCTGATAGGGATGCATTAATCCGAAATCTTCTCTCCTAACATTTGCTTTATGGTGAGCCCCTAATTGGGAATGGGGGTGGGGGTGGGGAGGCCTTGAAGGGATTCATGGAATTGCTATCTTCACACTCACCCGTGTGACAGCCCTTGGGAACAAGGGCTGTGTCTGTGTTTCACACCTGTCAGGGAAGCGCACGGGGAGAAGTGCATGCCCAGGCCTGGGAGAATGGGTTCTGTTACCAATAGACCCCACACTGATCTGATCTAAACAAGGATTTCAGGTCCTTCAGGAGTGAGGCAAATACAGGGTCCTGGCCAATGAAAAGCATGTATTTGAGGCACTGGAATAATATGCTGCGGGGAAAGAAACTGGCTCAGTTTCCAATGTTGGAATACAAGACACATGGCTCGGAAGAAAAGAACATGGTGATGGGCAGGGAAGGCGCATCTTGCACTAATGTTTCTGGCTGAAAAGCCAGTGGGACCCCAGCGGAGGAAGACATTGTGTAGTGGACTGACAGACACTGGCCTGGGGCTGGGACACTGGGACCCGTGGACCCTGGCTGGACTCTCGTTCTCACTGTCCTTCCGTGTCTGTCAGTTGGTTGGGCCGGTGGGTGTCTGCACCAGCCTGCCAGGTTCTGAGGCCTCTCTCCACCCGGGTGCGGCCTGCAGGCTGCTTCCTAAGACTCACAAGGGCCTCCTCTTCGCTGGGAAAGTGATCAACCCCCAAACTAGGCTCCTGTTTCAACCCGCTCCCAGAGGTTAAAGGCTAGTTATTAAGGCAGTTTAAGAAACGGACCGGACATTCCTCGCGCTCCTCCTCGGATCCTTCCTGTGTCCTGCTAACCCCCAGGGGGTGGAGGTGCCAGGGGGAGGGACCGCCTCCTCCCGCCAAGCCTGCCTGCCCTGGGTGGCCTCCCGCAGGGGGTGCAGGGGCATGGAGCGCCCCCCTGCGGCCTCACCACCGTTCTTTGGAGAAGGGGTCTGCCTGCACCAGGTCTGCAGGGCACTCGGGGATGCACGTGGTGCCGTTGAGGTCACCCAGCTTGCTGTCCGGCAGGTCCTCAGGCTTGGTGCAGAGCTTCAGGGCGCGGGAGATGAACACGTCCAGGTCGAACTGGGGGCTGGCGCCGCCGCCGTCCACGGTGGCCGGGCGGCCGTGCGGGGAGGCGGGCGGGTGGCGCTCGGGCCCCTCGCGGGGCGGGCTGGCGGGCTCCTGGCCGGCCTGCGTGCTCTGCACCCACTGCGCGATCTCCAGGAAGAGGCTGGCCGGCTCGTCCTCCTCGCGGCGCGCCCCGGCGGCCCCGGCCCCGGCCCCCGCGGCCCCGGGATTGGCCCCAGGGGCAGGGGGCGCGCCGGCCGTCTGCTTCCAGTGCGACAGGTCCAGGATGAGCTTGGGCTCCGAGTAGTGGTGCGGCTTGCTGTCGCGCCACAGCAGCTTGTCCAGGTAGGACGGCGAGCCCACCTTGTAGTCGCAGGAGCGCTCCAGGGACGAGTGCGACTGCTCCAGGAAGCGCTCCGAGCTGCCCTGCGAGTCCTTGCGCGGGTCCACCTGCACGTCCTCCGCCGGCGCCGAGCCCGCGCGCGGGTCCCGCTGCACCTCGCTCGCGTCTGGGCCCCGGTCGGGCCGCCACTCTAGGTCGGATGACAGGCTCACGGGGTACCTGCAAAGGATGCAGACGGACCGGGCATTGGGTCCCTGGCCCATCCCTCCAGCTCCTGTCCCCACCTCGCTGCAAGCTGGGAGGGGGATGGGACAAGGCAATGGCGAGGGGCCAGGGCTCTGGGTGAGGGACTGTTATCTTACCCCTGGTATTCTTTCTTTTTTAAAAAAATATATATATTTTATTGATTTTTTTTTTTTTTTTTTTTTTTTTTTTTTTTTTTTACAGAGAGGAAGAGAGAGGGATAGAGAGTTAGAAACACCGATGAGAGAGAGAATCATCGATCAGTTGCCTCTCGCACACCCTCTACTGGGGATGTGCCCGCAACCAAAGTACATGCCCTTGACCGGAATCCAACCTGGGACCTTTCAGTCTGCAGGCCGATGCTCTATGCACTGAGCCAAACCGGTTTCGGCTCCCCTGGTGTTCTCGGTAGCCATTCACTACCCTACACACAGTTCCTGAGCACCTCCTCTGTTCTAGGCATTGCCAGACACAGCAGTGAACAAAACAGCACAATCCCTGTCCTCACGAGCTAACTTTCCAGTAAGTTCCTAAATTCTGTGGCCCTGAAGGGGCTGGGGGGCTGCAGGGACCACAGTCAAGGGCAGGCCATGCACAGGGGTCAGCAGAAGAGAGTTTGCCTTCATCTCCATTTGCTGGCAGTGCTCAATGTCAACCATCCACCTGGGCAACCCAGTAACCTGTCCAAACTAGCAATGGGGTATGGCCTTCCCTTGCTGCCTCCTTCATCTGAAACCCACCCCACTGTCACATGCCTGAAGAGGAGGAATTGCTCCTCTGTCACGCATGTAACTGCTGCCACACTCCCACAGCGGGGCTCCCACTCGGGGCCCTCGGAGTCCTTGCTGCGAAGCCCTCAACTTTAGTCCGGGATTGAGCAGCGATCAGCTGTGGCTCCCAGGAATGCAGATGGCGATGCCCACGCGGTTAGCTGTGTGATCTAAGACCACCAGACCAGGACGGGACCGAGGAGATCATAGATGCCTTACCTCCATGGAGACTGCTCAACGTACCTGTTTTTGAAAGTATCTCCCTTACAAAGACACTTCTATCCAACTCTGACTCGTTGGTAGTGACGTCAGGGCACACTGTGTGGAGAGGATTCTGATCCCCAGCCCAGTTTAGCAAGAAAGAGTCCTGTGATTGCTTAGCACAGTGGTCGGCAAACCTCGGCTCACGAGGCGGCTCTTTGGCCCCTTGAGTGTGGCTCTTCCACAAAATACCACGCACGGGCACACACGTACAGTGCCATTGAAGGAGTACCCTAATTAAGTTAATAACAATGTACCTACCTATATAGTTTAAGTTTTAAAAATCTGGCTCTCAAAAGAAATTTCAATCGTTGTACTGTTGATATTTGGCTCTGTTGACTAATGAGTTTGCCGACCACTGGCTTAGCAGTGTCTGACAGGGATGCAGATTGGGGAGAAACCCAGGTGGGCAAATATCAGCTGTGTGACATGATGTCAGCCAAGCTCTACCCTCTCTGCTCTGTAGCTTCCTCCTGTGCCAATGGGCAATGCCAGGAATGGTACCCTGCCTAATGGCACTCTGCAGAGGTGCAGAGGAGGTGAACACAGGGGCGTGCTGCGTGGCGGTAAATCCACACTGTTCTCCTGCCTTGCGTGGCTGCAGTTTACGTTTCCAGGGCAAATTCCCAGCCTGCCAGAAGGCAGCTCCTGCAGGGGGCACTCATTCAACGCTAGCAGAACACTGTACTGAGCCTGGGAGGTGAGGGGGGAGGAAAGCTGGTGGTGCCAAGGGAAGGGCCTTGGACCACATGTCAGACAGGCTGCTCCTGTACTGAGTGCCAGGGCATGGGAGAGGGCAAGGCGGACAGGGAAGTTGTGGAAAGTGCGCAAGGGCTATACAATGTGGGAGACAGAGGGGGAGGTCACACGGAATCAGAGGCAAATAGCAATGGGAGGACTGGGACGGGGGCTCCAGACTCCAGGGCTGGACGCGCCTGGCACCACACCTGTCCCAGGTAGAGAGCTGGCTCTGGCTGGCGGCCATCAGCAGGATGTCGTCGATCTCATCCTCGATGCGGAAGGGGTGCTGGGAGATGGGCTCGTCCTCGGGGCACGAATATGGGCTCATGTAGGGGTGCTGCAGCCCCATCTCGGCGGTGAGGCGATCCATGGGGTTAAAGGTCAGGATCTTCTCCAGAAAGTCGATGGCTGTGGAGCAAAGCCAGACAGGAAGGTCATCATTGGTTGCTGCTGCTGCCCTGAGAAGGAGACCCCGCAGCGTGGCGATGGTCCTGTGTATTTTTCCGTTTGTGAAAAGGTTTTTAGTCATTTTCTTTCTCATGATCCTCACCACAATTCAGCGACAAATTCGGGGCTGATGCTGCTTTTGGACCCACAAATCTAAGTAAGAGAGGCCCAGAGGGGGAAAGGGGCATGCTCAAGGTCATGGCTGGTGACAGGAGGCCCAGGGCTAAACTCTGCCTAAAGTTGATTTCTCCAGAGACAAGAATTGAGGTGTAAGTCAGTACCTGGCGGTGAGCCCCGAAGTGTACTGGGCGGGGCGGGGGAAAGAAGCCAGCAGAGGGTGTATCTATGAGCAGGTTCCCCTGTGGGCACCTGGTGCTCATTTCCACTGGGTCCCCCAGGAGACAGCGTGGGACCTGCAAGGGGCTTCACTCAGGGACAGGGGTCAGCAGAAGAGAGTTTGCCTTAATCTCCATTTGCTGGCAACGCTTGATGCCAACCATCCATGTGGACAACTCAGTAGCCCGTCCAAACTAGCAACGGGGCATGGATACCCCAGCATGGAGAGATACTGCTGGGGTATCTCTCCACCTGCTCCCAGTGTTGGGGTGAGTGCTGCTGGGGTGGCTGGGAGCCTGCTTCCCAGCAGTATACAGCCCCCGAGAGGAAGGTGACGAAGGTAAGGCGGATGGGACAGGGCCTGACAGGCCAGAGCTCCTAGTTGATGTCCAGCGGGCCTCCCACCATAGGTTGCCCTGGGAGGTCTCACAAATAAAGGCAGCCTGCATCTTCCTCTCTGAAATCAATAAAAACGAACCTGTGTTTTTAAAAGTATTAACATGCACACAGGTGGCATTACAGAGACCCCGGAAAGGATGCTTGTTTGTAGAGTGAGGCTGCACCAGACCCAGGCTCGGCCTCTGTGGACCTCAGAGGTGCATGTGCACGGGGGGTGGGGGGTGGGGTGGGGACCTCGAGTTTCTGGCTGTTCTGTCTGCCCGTGTGCCAGCAAACAGCAGTGAGAGCGTGATGGGAATTGATTTGGGGGATTGAAAATAAATATCAGCGGGCAAATTGGCAAATACGGACGGAACCCGTGAGTAATGCGATTGCCTGTACTCTGCTCCAGAAGGACTGTGAGGTGGCAGTCCGTCCATGTTGTGGAATTGAATTGAAACTCGAAGACGGGGGAGAAAATGGATGAGGGCTGACAAGGCGAGGGTGAGAAGCTGGCGCTGTGTAAGAGCGATGGGAGGCGGCCTGGCCAGCGGGGAGGGTGCGGTCAGATGGGGGAGGGCTGTGACCATCAGGATATTTCACCACCCAGCTGAGGACCCCTCTAGTGGCTGGACCAAGGGGAGGTCCTGGCATCTGGAACCTGGAATGGGGGGGGGGGAAGCCTTGAGCACTCAGTAGTCATTTGCCATCCGGCATGACAGTAAGTTAGGGTCTCAGGGTGTTCTGGGTGCGCACTGCTGGCCATCGGCTCGGGCACAGGCGCTGGTGCTTTTTCCCCACTGCCCTGTGAGCTTGGAGCCACATTATCTGAGCTTGGTTGGGCATTACTTCTCAGGGTGGAGGCCCCACTGGAATCCTGACCTGGCTAATAATGTGACGGCCCAGGCGCAGAGGGAGGAGGCAGCTGAGCTCAAAGCCCAGGCGGCTGTCCCCTCTGAGGGGCTCCTGTGGGGCCTCATCCACACCGCTGCCCTGCTCCTTCTGCAGCCCTGGAGCTTCTGGCAGGGAAATTCATCAATGATTCAGGGAAGGGATGGGTCACTGGCCTCCCAGGGGAACTCAGTGCTGCTCTGTAACCTTAGACAGAGGCCATCGAAGCAGCAGCAACTCTGATTACCCCCAATGCTCTGGGGCTCAGAGGTTGCTTCTGAGCCAGGGCTGTGGACCTGAAAGAGGATTGGCCTCCCGGGTGCCCAGGACTGGGAAAGGTGGGGCACTGCCACTGGGCTCCAGGCTGGGCAAGCCTTCCCCTCTTTGGGCCTCTGACCTTCCCTCAGCCCCACCCTATGACACTGGACCTTTTGACACGGAAATGGAGAGTGAACGCTTTCAGGCACCATCACCATTGTCGTCACTATTAAGAAAGACCCAGCAAACCCTGAAGTCGGACAGTGCCTGCCTGAAGGCCACTCCACTGACTAGCAAGCATCTCCTCTTTCCTCTCCAGGTCTTCTAACAGGTGCCCAGACACTCCTGATATTAAAAAACCCTTTCTCTGTCCATCCTGCATCTGTCTCTTTACCCTCCACCCCTGAGCCTAGCTCCGCCCTCTGTGGTCCCCCATCTCAGCTGTTCTCTCTTCCCCATACCTGCCCCTCTCATGCTTCAAGGCGGCAGTCATGCCCCATGTAAGCCCCTCTCCACCTGCCTCACACTGGCCCGCCTCCCAGTTGTCCTGCAAAAGTCTCTTCAGAACAAGACAAAAGGCCCCTGGGCTTCTTGACAGCTGTAGAGCAGGTCCACCATGCTGGCCTTGGACTGCCTGGTTTTGTTTTGGATTATTATATAAGAGAGAAATTAACATTTTTTGTGTTAGTCCTCACCCATGGGTATTTTTTCTATTGAGTTTTTAGAGAGGAGTGGAAGGAAGGGCCGAGAGCATGAGAAACATCAACTTGAGAGAGTCACATTGAGTGGTTGCCTCCTGCACATGCCCTGACTGGGGCTGAGAGATGAATCTGCAACCCAGGTACCTGCCCTTGACTGGGAATCAATCCCATGACCCTTCATGCCGGGAACCAATTCCAGCATGTAATAATTACAAGAGTTTCCAAGTGCTTGGTGAGGTTTGGGGGCTCAACAAGGGCTGAGCCACACATGTAGTTTACCTGTTGGAACAGCTAAACGGCACTTTCCCCAAAACCTGAATAGGATAATCGTCTGCTTCCAGACAGCTCAGGGCATTTTATTGCCTCCTGTTGGCCAAACACCCGAACAGCTGTAGGCTATTCCCTAAACTGGCAATGCTTCTGTACCTTACCCTTTGAAACCTTACGCTTTGAAGTGTATATCTCCACCTTGCCTTAGGACAAATTGTGTTAATAAAAGCTCAGGTCTTTAGACAAGGAGTAGTCTTCAGTTCCTTTAGCTGAAGATCCTTTGACCACCCCCCCCCCCAATGCCTTTCAAAATTATTTTTTTGTCTCCAGATTCCTTCTTGAATCTACGCATCAGCCCCTTTTTCCAGAATGCTGAACACTCCGTAATGCTGGGACAAGAAGCCCAGCACCTTCAGTCCAGGACAGATGTTCTGACCACTTAGCAACACTGGCCAGGCTGAGAAATAAACTTCTTAATTTCTTTTTTCTTAAGTAATGATTAAATCTTATTTGAGTCTTTGAGAATTTTGGTCTCTCTCACAATCGGCTGTAGAAGCTTCCTCAGGAAGTTTCTGACAGGTCTAAGGCCCAATGATAATGTAACATCTAAGATGACAGAGGAACCCCCCTATGCTCAGGGCCTTACAGGTCCTATTTACTTACCCGTCATAATGGCCCTACGCGATGTGCATTATTATGCCCATTTTATAGTTAAGGAAACTGAGATGCAGAGAAGTTAAGAACTTGTCCAAGGCCCAACAGCTCAACATTCACTGGTGGAACTAGGAATTGAGCCTGGCTTTGGCTCTCAAGCTGATAAACCCATGTTCTCAGCACCACATCATACCTTCCAAGGAGGAAAAAGTAAAGTGGGGGAAGGAGGAGAAGGAGGAAGCAAGTGAGAAAGACAAAAAGAAAAGGAGACAAATCAGGGGTGGAATATGGAGGACCCCTAATGACTGCCTTGAAGTTGCCCTCTGGCCACATTCCAGGGACTAATCATCTGGAAGTAGCCCCTGCAAATGCTGGCTGCCAGGGGCCCTCACTTCTATGCTAAGGACTCTGCTTGGTCTTTCTGGAAGGACACTACCTGGCCCACCCTCAAGGGATGCAGAGCGCAGCCTGCAGATGCAGGCCTGGCTGTGGGCACAGGTACCTTCACTGTTCACTTCGGGGAGCAGCTTGCGCAGGGGCCTCTTCACCTCCCAGGTGCTGCTGACGAAGGAGGGCATCACCTTGAGCAGCTCGTCCTTGTCCTCCTCCCGGATCACAGGGATGGTCTCCAGGATGAGCTGCATCTGCTCCAGCTCATGAGCCCCTGGGGAGGCAAATGCCAGGTGGATCAGTGTGCTGCCCAAGGGACTGGGTGTGTGGAAGCCCCACAGCAGTAACAGGAGGCCTGGGAGGGGCCACACAGGGCAGGGGTTAGCCTTGGCTGGGATCCAGGGCCCTGGCTCTGGTCTTCCTCCTGCCGCTAACTTGCTGTGTGACTAGGAGCAATGGCTTACTGTCTCTGAGTCTGGCTTTGTCAAGTGCCTCTGCCACTGGGATGAGCAGTCTGGTTAAGACTGGCAGCCAGCACCAAAGTGACGAGAACAGCCTGGCTCAAGGCTTTCCAAGGGCCCCTTCCCATTGGTCTCTCTGCATGTTCTTTACTGGGCTAGGCAAGCAAGTGATTTCAAGACCGGGAATGAGCCTGACCCCTTGATTTCCAATGAGGAGGATTCCAATGAGGAGAGGAATGTGTCCTGAGCACACTGCTTCTGTGCTCCTTTGGGCAGAGGGAGGAAGGTAGGCTACGCCCAGTGCGTGGACCAGGATGGAGGCAGGGACTCATTCATTTAACAAGTAATTATTTATTGAGCACCGTCTCCCTGCCAGGCATCATGCTGGATGTTGGGAACGAATACCTCTCTCATCTGTAAAAGCGTCAGTCTTTATCATCTCAGAAATTCAGCGCACCTTCTATTCTACTCCCAGACAACACCGAGCCTGTGTTCGAGTTCTGGCATTGCTGGGATGCACAAGTCTGCCTCCTTACTACCCCGCTCTGACCTCCAGGCTCAGAGTTGTCTGGTAGAAGGTGTGTTGAGTTTCTGTTTCACTCTTACCTTCATTCCTTCCGTTTTCTGCCTTTGTGTGAATAGCCTTTCCACTGCCTCTACCCGAGTGAATCCTCACCAAGCCTCGCTTTCCTCAAGGAGCCCCCTGACTCATCCAGCTGCTCAAAGGGCCTCTTCTACCCCCCCCCCCACCCAGTTCCCATGGATCCCAGTCTGCCAGTAGCTGGTGTCTCAGGATAGGCTCTTCGTGTGTCCCCATACGCCCCTTGTGGTACTAAGTACATGTGAATGCTGTGAAGGCCAGCCCAGAAAGAGCCTCCAGCATCAGGGTCTGCCCTCAAGGCATTCCCTTGGCCTCTCCCTCAGTGGGCTCATGGAGGGTCAGTTCAGGGACGCTGGGAGCTCCTGGTGGGGACCGCTCTCCAAATAGGCACTTCAGACCGACTGTTTAGAATGGCAGGGAGAGAGAAGGAAGGGGCTGGAAATGTAGGGTGGGTGTTTTCATCAGTCAGCCTCAAGGTATTGGAATACAAGTGGTTACTTGATCGTGAAAGTTCTATCCTAAAAGATTACTTTTAGTGTCTCTAGCATTTTGCCTGGACTGACAGAAAGGTGCCTCCAAGCAATGCCATAAAAGCCACAGAGGTTACTTCAAAGAGAAAGGCTAGCATGTCTTGTGCACCCAGTTCCCTTTGTCTAGAACGACACCAGAGGAGAAAGAAAGTGAGTGGTTAGCTGCTTACCTGCAAAGAGCATTCTCCCCGTGAGCATCTCGGCCAGGATGCAGCCGGCCGCCCACATGTCGATGGCTTTGGTGTAGTTGTTAGGGGAGAGGAGCAGGCGTGGTGAGCGGTACCACTTGGTTACCAAGCCTTCTGACAGATAACCCTGGAAGACAGAATCCTGTTCCATCCATCTGTCATGCAGATTCCCTCCCTCCCACACCTCTTCTCATTTATCTTCACCTGGGGACAGGACCCCTTTCAGGATTCCTTCACCCTTGATCCTATCCTGTGGATCTGGAAGAAGTATTACTGAACAGAAGTCTGACTGTAGGGATTCAGGCTTCTTTGTGGGTTTCAAAGGTTTTGGTGGGGGGAGGGTCTCAGGAGGCCCTGGCATTCTCCTCTGTAGAAAGGGATTCAGGATATCAATATTTTAGGAGAAATGATATCCTGCCCCAGCTTGATGCAAGTATGCAAAACAAATCTGACCTCATCTAGTAAGAAGATGGATAAGGAAGAGCCATACTCCAGTTCATTATCGCCATCAACAGAATAGTGATGAGACACTGGAATTTCATTTACCCAGCGGCTGAATCTCAGACACAGACATGCATTTGGAATCAAGCCAGTTGCTTTGGCGTTAATGGTTAGAATTAATGCAGCTATGACGCCAGAGCCAAGACCCTGATGAAAACGAATAAGGCTATCTTCATAATGGATGCAGGCCAAGGGCATATGACAGCAGACCTAATGGCAAAGTGGACACAACTTTTGCTCCGAGGATTCTGCGGGTTCTACACAGTGCCTTCTGGAGGGATAGATGTGCTAGCTGATTTCAGCCATTGCTCAGTGACTTCCGATCTGGGCTGGAATCCCTCCCCACAAGATACAGTGATGGCCTAGGTCAGTGGTCGGCAAACTGCGGCACGCAAGCCACATGCGGCTCTTTGGCCCCTTGAGTGTGGATCTTCCACAAAATACCAGGGCCTGGGTGAGTCTATTTTGAAGAAGTTTAAGTTTAAATAATTTGGCTCTCTAAAGAAATTTCAATCGTTGTACTGTTGATATTTGGCTCTGTTGACTAATGAGTTTGCCAACCACTGGCCTAGGTGTTTTAGCACAGAAAAGAAAACATAGCCAAGGAATTTGAAAGTTATTCTCTATATAATTCAGAAAGCTGGCCCAACAATGAAATCCAGGAAATGTCCATTTGGATCAACTGAGCAATCTCTCTACAATGGAAAATAGACGGTTTGGTATTCAAGGTGAGACAATTCCAATCGAGGGGCTCTACTGTGAGGTTCTAGGGATGATCTTGGTTGTTGCTGTAACCCTCCGTTTGGCATTTGAATTTGCCTTTTTACCGATGCAGAAAGTATATCAGAGATCCATGTTAAAACGTATGCAAAGTTCAGAAGCCCAAGTACCCAGGAGCTTTGGATCAGTTAATCTGAAATCTTTTCATTTGTTGAGCAAAGATTTATTGTTTAAAGCCTCTGAGAGCCCTGCATTTGGACAGCAGTTTCCTCTCCTCTGTGGCACACCTTTTTTCAGGGTAGGGCCTCAAACTGGTGGAACAAAGAGGAAAAGAGACATCCTCTCCCCCCCCCCCCCCCGAGGCCTGCCCCCGAATGGGAAATGATTACAGCAAAGCCATTCTCTGGCCTCAAAGCTCTCACCGACATGAACTCCTTACAGTTTTTGGATGTACCCCTCTTTCTCTCTCCTTTTGGCATCTACACGTGTGCATCCTACAGATGGAGGTCCTCACACCTGCTGTCTACCTGGCTGATGCACACTCAGGCCGGCTTCCTCTCAGAAGCTTCCCAGTTCTCTGGGATGAGATTGGATGCCCCTCCGGGAGCTCCATGGGTCCTGTTTGCTACTGTTTCTTTACTTCTATGACGGTGCCCACTTTCCAGTCCCCTAGACTCTATGCCTCTCACAGGAAGCAGCTGGTATAGGTTCATAGTCATGTCCAAATTGCCTAGTCCCAAGTCTGCCTCTTAGGAAGTGTTCAATAAACACTGTTGAATGAGCGAGTGAATGAATAAATTAATGAATAAACAAGGAATGTCTCCTGTGGTCTAAACCCCAGGCATTTTGCAGGGACCGCTGACCCTCTTCTTGGACATGCTTGACTTTCCAGAGAGTTCCAGGTGCCATGTTCAAAGGTGGGTGGGAAATTCACAGCAGTTGACACCCAGTGATACCTTGCCTTGTTCCAAAAAGGATTGGCAAATGGAAGTCACTTTTAAAAGGTCAGGTGTGTTGCGGTATAATTTACATACAATAAAATTTGCCCTTTTTAGGGTACATTTTTGTCATCTCCAACAATTCCACATCCCCTTCTCGTCACTCCAGTTTTGCCCTGTTTATAATGTCATGTAAATGGAATCACACCAGGAAGCTTTTTTAATCTAATTGCTTCCCTTAGCGTAATGCATTTAGACTCACCATGTTGTGTGTACAGTAGTGTGTCAGGGGCTGAAGTTTGATCCTAAAAATTACAGAGGCAAGCCAGATGGCCTGGGAAAGGAAGGTCACTTCTGCGTGGGCGGGCTGTAAATAAAGACTGTCTCTGATTTTATTTTCCAGTCGGAGTTGGAGGCTGAGACTGTCAGATCACCCAGAGGGGAGGGGACTTAAGGAAAGTTTCCCTTGATATGTAAATAAGTCTTTTAAGGAATGGAATTCCCTATAATTAACATAATTAACACCTGCGGATCTGCAGCTTTGGGGCTGAGGAGAAGTGGGGACATGGGAAGGAGGGGATTGAGGGTGGGAAATCCTTTGAAAACACCTGCTCTGAAAGTGAAAGGAAGGTGTACTTTGGGGCAAGGCTGCCCTTAGGTCAGAATTATGGCTTGACCTTGACAGTGGTTGAGAAAGTGAACTCCTGGCTCTTTCTTACATTTGAATGAAAACCAAGGACCTGCTGGATATCTGTTAACTTCTACAGCTACTTTCCTATGGTTGCTTGTCCCTCAAGCCCCTTGTAAGAACAAAGGGAGTTACTGATGTGTTTCAGAAGTCAGGGGGCAGAGGGGAACCTGGGCAGGTACAGTGCCTTCTGCCTGGCTTTGAAGCAAGAGGACCCTGGGGAGGGGGGGGGCAGGGGAACCAAAGAATGGCTTTCTTCCTGGGTGGGGAGTCTGAGCAGGAAGGCGCTGGGGTCCACAACATGCTCCTGGCGACCTAAATTCAAGGGAGGAGTTTCAGTTGAGTAGAAAGGGTGAAAGTCAGAATTTTCTAGAATTTAAAAAAAAATCTTTAAAGAATACCCAGGAATAAAGGCTCCATTAAAAAAAAATACATATTTTTATTGATTTCAAAGAGGAAGGGATAGGGAGAGAGAAATAGAAACATCAATGATGAGAGAGAATCATTGATCGGCTGCCTCCTACACACCCGCCATTGGGATCAGGCGTGCAAACCACAGAGGCACAGAGGATAAGCAATCTACCCCAGTCAGGCATGTGCCCTGCGCTCAACCACTGACACCGTGCTGGCTTGGTGAGACTCAATTTTATCAGAAGGGCTCATAAATCAGTAAGGATATTGGCTCCCAGAAATCCCTAGATGGTTTTCCTGCTGAGCCTGTGGGAGGATAGTTTCAGCTTCATTTGGACATGGAGGGCCAGTGATCAGACCTGGTCTGCGGGGGGGCTCTCCCAGGGCAGGCTGGGAGGCAGCAGGTCCACGCAGGATACACTGTCCTGTGAGCTCTAAGACCATGTGCTCTGAGAAGACACGAAGTCAACACTGCAATTCTCCATGGCCCTTCTCAGCAGACTACTGCAGTGTTTCCCAAAGTGTGGTACACGTACCCCCAAGGGTACGGGAAGAGTTTGGTGGAGGTATGCGTCGCACCAGAGTTTGGTGGAGATATGCACTGCACCGTGCTTAGCTGCGCCTAATTCTAGGTTCTCATGAGTACGAGGGGAACCTAATTCTAGGTTCTCATGAGTACTAGGGGAACCTAATTCTAGGTTCTCATGAGTACAGCGTTATGAAAATTATAGAAGAGGTACACATATGTCAAAAGTTTGGGAAACACTGGACTAGAGGGAGACAGGAATTGCCCTGCCCCTTCCTTCTGCCCCCTGGTCCCTTGGTGCTCCTGGGACCAGCTGGTGCTCCTGGGACCAGCTGGTGCTCCTGGGGAGAAGCTGGTTCTTGAGGAGGCGCCGCTGGGAGGCAGTCAGACACAGCTTCCTGTCTAGACTCTGTCAGGAGCCTTCGGGATTTCTTCAGCTATTTTTCTAGTTAGCTCTTCTCTTAGCAATGGGAGGCTTTGACTTTGAAAGGTTCAAAGGTATTTGAAATAATAATCAAGAAGCAGCTGCTCTGAGTGAGGGTAAGGCAGATTCAGAGGGAAGGTGTCAGTGAAGCTCTGAGCATTCCTTTTACAGAAGAAGCAGGGGTACTCCGTCCCAGGTGCCTGCAGGAAATGCAGGCCAACCTCGCTCAAACTCACCCCGGAAGGTGGGCACCCCTCTGCTGCCACAACCAGCCAGCCCTGGTGGGTCCACTTCTGTGGGGCTTGCCCTCTCAATGCCTCCACCACCTGGAGCCTGACCTCATGGGTCTGGGATTGCAAGCCTCCGATGTCACCCACTAATGATAATGCATCTCCTGGCTGCTCACAGCCATAGAAAGAATTTAAATAGGGACAGGGGCTTAGCGTCAGTGGTCCCCAAAAACCCCCTGCATCAGAGTCAGGGAAACTGCTTGTGAGATGTGCAAACTTCCCAAAGCTACCGATGTACATCTTTTTCTCTTTGTTAATCCTCACTCAAGGATATTTTTCCTTTGTTTTTTATAAAGAGTGGAGGGGAGAGAGAAACATCAATGTGAAAGAGACTTATCAATTGATTGCCTCTCACATGAACCCTGACCAAGGCTGGGACTCAAGCCTGCAACCAGTGCCCATGACCCGAATCAAACCCAGGACCCCTCAGTCTGTGTGCTGACCATTCACTGAGCAAACTGTCTCTGGCACTGATGTACATCTCCAATAAGCCCCCTCCCAGTTTGAGAACCCTAGGAAGAACAAAGGGAGCATGAAGTGCCAGAAGCCGATTCCAGCACGTCAGCAGGGCTGAATCATCTAGAATGGCTAAAGGCATTTCCCCAAACCTGAAAAGGAAGCCTTAAATG